GACCACTTCCGTTTGTCCATATGTTTGTGGATGGTAGGTGGAGCTCATCTTCAACTATGTGCCTGATAGTTTGAAGAAGTCTTGCCAAAAATGACTGATGAACACCGGATCTCGATCACTTATGATGGATCGAGGCATGCCATGAAGCTTCACAACTCCTTCAATGAATTTTTCAGCCACTAGTTTTGCTGTATACGGGTGGGAGAGAGCCAAAAAATGTGCTGATTTGCTCAACCTATCAACCATGACAAGAATTGAATTTTTACCATTCAAAGGTGAAAGGCCATCGATGAAGTCCATAGTGACATCATCCCGTACTTGACAAGGAATTGGAAGTGGTTGTAGAAGTCCGACAGGTGACAAGGTTTCATTTTTAGTTCGTTGGCACACTTCACAAGAGGCAACATAATTCTTCACTGCTTGGTGCATGGATGGCCAATAAAATTGTTGTGCTAGTCTCTTGTATGTTCTCAGTACACCCGAATGCCCACCAATTGGAGAGTCATGGAATTGTCACAAAAGTTGTTGGGTGATGTTGGAATGAGGAGGCACCACCACTCGGTTTTTGTAACAAGCCAACCCGTTGCACTAGCTGTAAGGAACACCTGGGCTTTTGGTTGCTTGTTTGCTAATTTTTATTCATGTAAGGGTTGTCACCAGCTTCGGCTTTGATTGTATCCCATAATTGAGTTTGAGACACAAACAAGGCATCAAGACTAGGACTAACCGCCACCCATGATAGTGGATCAACTGCATTGTTCTCCTAGCCTGGCTTATATTTGATCTCATAATCATAGCCAAGTAGTTTAGTTACCCACTTTTGTTGCTCGGGTGTTGCTATGCGTTGCTCCAACGAGTACTTGAGGCTGCGTTGATCAGTATGGATGTAAAACTTCCAACCCAGCAAATATGGCCTCCATGTCTGAATTGCGTGAATGATTGCCAGCATTTCTTTTGCATAGACTGACCATGAGCGTTTGGTGGCACCCAAGGCTCGACTCATGAATGCAATAGCCCTTCCTTGTTGTGTCAGAACTGCCCCTATGCCATCCCCTAAAGCATCTAATTCAATGATAAATGGTTCATTGAAATTTGGCATTGCAAGCGTTGGTGTAGTAGTCATGGATTTCTTGAGCTCCTGGAAAGCATTTTCTGCTTCATCTGGCCATCCAAATTGTCCCTTTTTTAAGAGGTTGGTGAGAGAACGTGCTATGATGCCATAGTTGCGGACAAATTTCCGGTAATAACCTGCAAGTCCTAAAAATCCACGCAACTCAGAGACATTAGTAGGCCTAGGCCAATTCAACATAGTTTTAATTTTTCCTTGATCCACCTTAACTCCTTGAGGAGTTACAATATGCCCTAAGTATTCCAATTCTTGTACATCGAAGGCACATTTGCTGAATTTGACAAAAAACTGACGTTGCCTAAGTATTTCAAAAGCCTTTTGAACATGTTCAAGATGCATGGTCCAATTGGGGCTATAAATCAAAATGTCATCGAAGAAAACTAGCATAAATTTGTAGAGGTAAGGGCGAAATATTGAATTCATAATTGCTTGAAAGGTAGATGGAGCATTACAAAGACCAAAGGGCATAACTAAGTATTCATAATGACCATTATGAGTACGAAAGTCAGTTTTATGAATGTCTGTAGGATGCACTCAAACCTGGTGGTATCCCGCCCGTAAGTTAAGTTTAGTGAAATAAGTAGCTCCATGGAGTTCATCAAGCATGTCATCAACTGTAGGAATTGGAAATCTATCTTTGATGGTTACAGCATTAAGTGCTCTATAGTCAGTGCAAAAACGCCATGAACCATCCTTCTTCTTGACCAATAAAACAGGAGATGAAAAAGGACTAGTGCTAGATCTTATAAGCCCCAATTTTAACATATCATGAACTTGTTTTTCAATTTCAGCTTTTTGAAAATAGGCATACCTGTATGGTCTCACATTAATGGGCTCGGTTCCTTCTTTCAAATTGATGTGATTATTTATTTCTCTTGTAGGAGGAAGGTGTGTCAGTTCTTGGAACAAGTCTTCAAATTTCCCCAATAATTGTTTCATCTCAGGATTGACATCCTGAGACGTAGGATCGGCTGCGGATTGAAGACAAATAGCAAACATGGGAATCTCTTGCCGTATATCTTTGAAAATAGCTTTCACTGATGCGGGTTGAATTGATTGCATATCAATCCCTTGTAATTTTTGAGTTTGGTTGCTCCACTGGAATTCCATTGTTAATTGCTTCCAATTACATACCACCGTTCCCAATTGTTCCAACCAATGGACACCTAAGACCAAATCCAGCCAAATTAAAGGTAAAGCATATAGAGTGAGGATAAAAGGAATACCTTGGAGTAGAACTTGGACATTTTTGAATATTTCTTGGCATTTTAATGGCCTTCCACTCGCCACCTTGACATTGAAAGGTTCGGTTGGGACCACTGGTAGTTGCAACATATTGGCCACTCTTTCACTAATAAAGTTATGAGTAGACCCACTATTGATTAGTACAACCACCTCATAAGGTCCAATCTTTGCCATTACCCGCATTGTTTTATAGGCTGTCCATCCTGAGAGTGCATGAAGTGATATCTCGGGTTGTGATTCCATTGAGCCTTCAGTTTCCTCATCATCTGAATATTCACCACTGCCTTCTAACAGTAGAAGTTGTGGTCCTTTACACCTGTGACTCGGTGTAAATTTCTCATTACAATTGAAGCATAGCCCTTGTGCCCTTTTTTTCTGCATCTCGTCCCAAGTGAGCCTTTTCATAGGCAGAGTTGTCTTGAATTTTGTTGGAGAAGGGGAGTCAGCAATGGATCGATTGGAAGGTCGTGTGGCTTTCCTTTGGCGAATCAGCTACTCATCTCTCATCCGTGCAAGGCTAATAGCTTCTTTCAACGATTTCGGCTTGAACATTCTTATGCCATCAGCTATTTCTGGTTTGAGGCCTCCCATGAATGTCCCTACTAAAGCTTTTTGTGTCCAACCTTGTACCCGATTTCCCAGCCGTTCAAATTCTTTTTGATAATCACGTAAGGAGCCCACTTGTTTAATCTTTGACAATGCTTCATCAAAGTCCTCACATTCTGTAGGACCAAATCTTGCCCAAAGTTCCTCTTGAAAAAATTCCCATGTCACCTCTTTGCCTTCTTCCTTATAGGATCTTCTCAACCATTGCCATCATTGATTAGCCTCGCCTTCCAAATGGAAAGAGGCCAAGGACACCTTTTGAGATTCAAGGGTGCCTTGATACTCAAAAAATTGATCCACTCTTGTGAACCATTCGGTGGGGTCATCTCCAGAAAATCAAGGAAACTACAATTTGGCTAATTTGGAAGAGAACAATTGCCGTCCTCCTTCAGAGTTGTCTCGAGATTCTTCTCTTATGTTGCGGAAACGCCCAGTAGGAGAATTTGCCTTAAGTTCGGAATTGTTGCTAATAGATGCAGCTCGGTTGGAGAGTAGGGCTTCAGATAATTTGCTGATGGCGTCTTCTAATTGGTGAAACTTATCAGATACACCCATTTCCATTCGACTAAGGATATCTTGGAGTCCTCCAAGTCCAACCTCTAAATTCTCAATCATTTCCTTGTCCGTTTCCATAGAAGTAACCTGGCTCTGATACCAAATGTTAGGTCCCAATCAGCGCCAAAAGAGAACCGTTTCATGAAGATAGTATTCTGCTTAGGGTGTTAATAAACCATAGGAATTTTAATTGGAATAAGCTTGCTTTATTCATGACAACAAGGAAATTAAATACAAACGGGAATTAACAACTATTCCTAATTCTTAGATCATGTCTCCAAGAAATAGGACACTAACAGCTAATGGCAACTAGGTAGCCGAAAATTATTCAAAATTAAATAATTACTTGACCTATTCTTAAGCAAGCTTGTGGGCATGATCAAAAACTAACCCAGAATCTTCTATGCTACATGTCATGGTTCATGCAACGTTCAATGCACTTGCATGCAATGTGATGAGGGCGGATTTGGCCCTCCAATGACATTATGACATCTTGTCACGGTCTCACACAGGCTTAGCCTTGCCTACGCTTGGCAGGCTTACGTTAAGGGACGCCATCGTCATTTTCGCCTATAAGATTATTGGGAGAATTGATGTCATCTTCAGGCAGACCTCTAAAAGCTTAATGTACTCTTTGAGGAGGAGTGGTCGACCTCCTTGAGTGCCTAACCTTGGCACTCCTAGACCAACTTCCCTTGCAGGGCGGCCCTGGTTAATGGCTAGCATGGCTACCAGGGTTCCTCATGGGTGCACACATGCTCATGGGGACAGTGCACGGACCGGCACTGCGCTGTCGATGCTCAAGGGAGGCTTGGCATGCGAGCCTTGCTCAAGCATGACCCTTCACCTCGCCAGCCCCTTGCCCAAGCTGATCGAGTTATCCCGTTGCCCATAGCGCACGGGTGTGCTTCGACCCAAGCGGCTGTCCAATCATCTTGGCACACAGGTGCCCATCATCATTGGCATATAGGAGACCCATTCACATTGGTGCTAAGCCACCTCTTCGACGCATAGTCGCCTTGCATTGCAGCCGTCCCCCTTTAGCACGTAAGTGGCACCTCCCATGGATCGGCCAGAGCCAGCATAGTGCCCCGGCCATGTGATTTGAGGTCATGACCTAGCGCTACTGACCATGCGCTACTGACCATTGGGGAGCCATCCCGTCGGGCAACTCCTAGCCTCCCAGCATACAAAGGCTTGTCCTGGCCTGCCTTGGCCTGGACGCCATACGGGTTTCTTCCGCTGTAGAACTACCCCCATAACAACCTGGCACCTCATGACAATTAAGTGCAGCCCCTTGACAACCAGGCAGCTCACCACCAGGGAGCTCCACTTCAGCCCCTGAGTCACAGGACACTTGGGGGCAGACGTCGCTGACGAGGTACTTAGCCAAATATTGGTACATCACAAAAATACTAATACGGGATCAGAACCGGTTACATCACACTGCAAGTCCTATGCATGACAGCTCTCAGTCAAAATACTTTGGGTTCTTCACGGGCACTCTTTGGGATCTTCTTGGCTTATCAAAACCACGTTGCTTTCTTCTGTTGGTTAAGCATAGAGTGTTTTGTCTTCCTTTTCTTTTATTTAGTTGCCCTGTTTTTCATTGTGTTAGCTGCAAGTATTTCTCTTGGTTCATTGTCTTTATCTGTGTTGCATTATATTATCGTAATTGTTGGCAAGTATTCTTATTTTCTCTTTTTTTATTTCCTTTGTGCTAAAAACTATATCTGAATCAGTGATCGACTGAAAATTTTATTTCTCCCCTCATTGTATTTTGCGATTTCTTACGCCATAGCCACTTTCTATTCTGTTACTCATTTCGTTCCTTGCATAGTTATTCCCTGATGGACTGATGAATCCTGGGCAATTTCCTTGCTGAAATCGATCCCACACTCTGAGAAGAGTATCACCAAGATGTTAGTAAAGCTACCCCCTGAGTCCGAACCAGTCCCCTTCCCATCAAGTCCACCTGAGCAGACGGGCCCCGAAGTCGCAAGCAGGATTCGGCACCGAACTGTTCACAACCCAATTCTCTTTTTTCGTCGCTACAAACTCTCGAGTTAGGCCACTGAATGACCAATGGTTTCTACGGAGGAATCAACAGAGACCAAAGACTTAATAAAAGAAGGCATCGTTTTGAAGGACACCGTCGTTGAATCCCGAACACAGGGGCTACTATGTCATGGTTGAGATCCGCAGTGAGCAAAGCTGTCGAGGTCGGCGGAAAGAACAACCTTACACGTACCGTCAGGAGCTACGCCGATTCCGTCGTCCAACATACCGGTCAAGCTGTTGCTAAGGGTGCGGAACTTTTGCAGGATCGCATGGCAATATCACTCACTGAAGAATCTAGGGAGTAGACGTAGAAGAAGATTTCTTTTTGTGGTTTCATCATCTTGCTGCAGCAACCTATTCGGTTCCACTCTCAGATGTCCATGATAGTGGTCGTACTGAGACGACAGCGGCGGCGACGAATCCAGTGTTCACCATCATCTTCTCTACCCAAACCAGCGACAAACGATGGGAGCTGCATTCGCGGAGCTCTTCTTTTCTTCTTAACTGAGTCCAGCGAAGAGTCTGATCGCGATGGTGATCGTTGGTTTCCATTATTTCGTTTCTGTATCTTCATATAGCATTCCACGAAGGCACTCTGTGGAAGTGTCAAATCTGCTCGTTCCCCCTGAGAGATCGATCCCAATTGCAGAAAACCTTCCGGTTTCAAGCTAAATTCGAATCAGGTAATTCCCCTCCCTCCTATAGTCCCTTGTTTAGTTCGTATTTGCTTTATTCACTTTTGTTTTATTTTCTACCTCCTGCTTTAACCGGGGGTCGAGGGAAAGGAGGGTCGAAGGAATGGGTTCGGTCGTTCCTTTATCTTGTCAGTTGTGGTGAGATGCTGTTTTTTGTTTTTTGATATTTGTGTTAAATTTCAGCTCTGTTATTCTTGGAGGAAGGGGAACTTGATTCATTCGAAAGGACGTGGTAGAAAGAAATAATTTGTCTGGGATTTCATTGTTACTGAGAGTAATGGATAATTTTTATTTGATAAATCTTGGAATCAAGGTTGGTTTCAGGTTTAGGGATTCTGTTCTGCTTGAACAAGGGTTTGTTTCATATAAGCCTTCTTTTTTATTAATCTGTTGTATTCCTAGTAAATGGTGGGGCAATTTGGGTCCACATGGATTTGGAGATGTTGGAGTTTTGTTCTGATCAAGTGGATTCTATTCATGAAATGGAACTTGGAGCTCAGGGTGCCTTTGCGATAGAAGGATACTGAGATTGACAAAGGTGAGGTCTGGATCTGTCAATGAAGAGAATAAAGACTGCAACCCTAACCCATATTATCAAGAGTATTAAATTATTGAGGTTTGAGAGTTATAGAGTATAGAGATTCTGTTCTTAAGTTCTAAGTCAGCTAATTTAAGAGCAAATGTTTCGTGATATATAACCTAGGTATTGCACAAATGTTTTCCTCTGGAAACTCTCTTTCGGTATTACAGTCTTTTGATGACTTCAATATTGATCAAAATTTTGTGAAGTCTATTCTTTTATGCGAATTATAACCTTACACTTAATTTCTAATCTTCTAACTGCATAGTAGCTTGTTATGGCCTATGGGGATCAAATCTTTTAATAGGCTTTTGAACATTCTGTCATTGGAGCATTATTTTGTATGGTTGCAGATTAGTATTGAATGGTTTAAAAGACTTGCTTTTGAATGTTATTTTCTAAACATTACAGGAGTAAAACAGAAGTCAAGTCTCAGGCATTTTCAAAGCTCCAGCAGCCCCGGGCACCCTCAAAGCCCTAGCAGTCCCAAGAACTTTCAAAGCCCCACCAGCCCCAAACACTCTAAAAGCCCTGGCAGTCCTAGGCACTTTCAAAGCCCCAGCAACCCCAGGCACTCTCAAAGCCTTGGTAGTCTCAGGCACTCTTAAAGCCCTAGAAACCCCAGGCACGAACAAAGCCCTGGTAAGCCCAGGCACGGACAAAGCCCTGGCAACCCCAGGCACGGACAAAGTCCTGGTAACCCCAAGCACAAACAAAGCCCTGACAACCCCAGGTGCAGCCACACCTCCATGTAACCGTCGGGGGGCTTTGTTGATAGTAGGTATGATTCCCATTCAATTCATAAAGGCAGATATTTTGTCTAACTTATAAATGCAATGGTTTAAAGAGGTTAAACTTCACCCGTCCCGTACATTGACGATAACACTTTGCTAAGGAACAACACTAATTTTGGCCATTGATATCTCACTTCCATAGGAAGGCTCATATAGCCCTCTCATGCGATGACCAAAACCTTACCACAAAGGCAACAAAGGTATGAAGCTCATAATTAACCCTTTGGGCTAGTTGCCTTCCCAAACATAGTTGTGACGAAATTCTGACTTATGCTAATTATTTATACTATGACTGAGCCCCAATTGTATCACCCATGAAGGGCCCCGTCTTCCTAAGACACGACAACCCTCGGCCCCTGTATCGGTGGCAAAAACTGCAACGTAATTCAACTTCTCTTCTTTACAAATACAGACCTTAATACTCACCCTACAACTCATTCCTACTATATGTTGGTCTTTCGCACTTAATGTTTAGATATCGGGACAACTCCTCTCTATGAACACGTTTATCACGTACTTAGTTTACATAATGTTATTGCACTTGATAGTATCTCATATGTTGAATAACACTATTCGATATGCGATAAAGTTGACTATGCCTATGTCGATACTTGGTTGTGATATAGTCTAACGGGTGTTCGACCCTGAAATACCTGAATCCTATTATTTCCAATGTTACCTAAAAAACCTGTGAAGTCCCTTCCAATGTTAGTGGACACTTGCAACTTTCTTTCTTCTCAACAACGTTTAACACTTACGTCGAGCCTCTAAACTAAGGGGCATGCACGATTTCCTTTTATAATAGTTCGCAATTAATGGTTGATTACACTTGCAATAGTGTTTGATTGCCTATGATACTTACGAAAAGTACTTATTTGTGACGAAGTGCACAAAATGACCAACTTTAAACGATTTGATTACCATTCAACATTTGCGCTAATACAAGTCATGACAAAAATTCACAGACCATGCGACTTTCTAAACCGCATTACCTACAACCTTGATTCAAACTCTTTCTTACAAACTAATATGCAATAAAGTTTTATTACAAGATCAAAACTTTTGGATGAATGACAAAGTTCTCTCGGAAGTCGTTGCGAAAGTTCTCTCATCTGGAAGCTCTAATACAAAGAGAAAATTTTTCTCTACATTTAAACCTGCTATGCATTAGAAGCCGAACATGATATGCCAAGGCCAATAGCCCACTTACACCGTGGTAAAAGCACTAGTGCAAAAGCACTTAGAAACTGGCACATTTATAACACAATGGTACATATTTATGACAAAGAATTCGCATCCTTCTACAAAAAAGATTAGATACCCTTCCCTATGTGTATACTCCAAAATCCCGCACTATAAAATGGGGGCTTTCCTTCGTCCCTTATTTTAGATACTTGACGCGATACTAGCAAAGCCTTCTATTAAAGCAAAAGTTGGTTGGGTATCATGTCCGCGAGACACCCATACAACACCCTCCCACTCACCCAAGAGGATGGAAAAGGTAACACACCCAACAAAACCTCACTTGAGTGTTTCTCAACAAAAGACATTCTATAAAGATATAGGGGGCTACGCCCACCAAAGCTGTGGCGGGATCACCTCTAGCCACTCCCTCCCTTCCTACTAATGGTCAGGGGCCTAAAATCTAAAAACACCACACGAACCCGGCCATTGCCAAAAAAAAGGCAATACTTATTGCAATCCCATACGCTCTCTTACCAATGGCCATGGGAGCTGAAATACGAAAACTCAGCACTAGCTTGCCCGTTACCAAGAAGGAGCATCACACATAGTAATTCCTAGTGTCTTTTGCTAATTTCCTTCCTGTCAATGGTCAGGGGGCCTGAAACACACAAATAAGGCATAGCATTGACCATTGATAAGAAGGAAATCACCGAAAGATAGGGGGGCTAAACCGTGGAATGTAGGGAGTCCCCATCGCAGACATAAGACGCATCCCACCTACATAAAATCATAAAAATAGGGAAAATTCCCAAACCCAATGCATGCAAACCACTAAGATCTAAAAACAAATACGAAGACAAGTGCTTATTGATAAGCTCCTACTTACCGATAAGCAGGGGGGATAATGTAGGTACATAGTGGTCACTAAGACCATCAGAATACAAAGGGTGTTAAATCAACACTACATGGATGCCTGCAATGAATCCATAACTCAACGCACATTTGCAATAAGTTCATTGCAGATCTGTGATTGCGATAAATTCGTACCCAAGACAAATTGCGATGAACTTCAGCTAGCGCGAATCTAAGATAAAGCTAAGACACACGCGGGTTTAAGACAAACCCCAAACACGTGTGGGTTTGCGATGAACCCCGAACACATGCAGAGTTGCGATGAACCCGACACCATTACATGAACCGTGGAATCACGGTAGATCGGGAATAAATGTTGGTTATACATTCATTTTTTAATTATGCATGTGGGTATGCACGCTAAATGATGGTGTCACCCGTGCCACTTCGGAATACTAGGGTCACATACGGAGAGAATCCAAAAGGGATAGGAATCTCTAATAATGATCATTTAATTTTAACAGTCAAACAAAATAAAAGATTTCCTTTCCTAATAGAAAATATCCCATTTCCTAACAGGAAAGAATTTTTTCCTTGGTAACTTTAACTTTCTCACTATAAAAGGGGGTGAGCAATTCTTCCCCAAAGAGACAACACAATCATAACTCGGACCTAGGGTTTGTCACATAGGGATTCTCCATTCTCCCTTCTCTTCTCCTCTCTTCCCCACATCCTCTCTCTCTTTCCCACCGCCATCTCCGAATTTTCAGAGATTGACCAACCTCTGCCTTACCATGGTGATTACACTCCTGTTAGGAAGTTTTCTACTGAGCTCCTTTCCTAATTTCTCTATTTCTATTCTTATAATTGTTTCTAATTTATTCTATATTATTTTTGTATATATATTCAGTCTTGTAGAGTCATTAAATTAAGTGAAATTTGACCCATTCTTTGAAAACTACTCTTCTCTTTCTTTAACTTGATCCTTTTTCTTTAAAACAGGAGGATGCAAGGTAGACCAGAGGCAACATAAAAATATGTGCTAGAATGTGATGATAAAAACAGTGAAGGTTGAACCAGATTCTGAATTACATAGATCAAGTGCTATATGTCCCATAGGTTGTGCATCAATTGTTAGAGGCAGGTCAAGGAAAATTTTGATTAAGGTACTGGAAATTTCTAAATCTCACATCTGAAACTGTTTGAGTTTCCAAAGTTCCAATTGAATATGGTCCCATGCAGGCTGAGAAGGAAACATGCAAACTACGTAGAGTATTAGCAAATAGAGAACCCGCAAGGCAAACAATTTTGTCATGTCTAAGAATTCTGATTTCGCATGTCGGTATTACTTCTTTTCTTTTAACAAATAAGATATTGTTTTATTATTTGTCAGATGAAATTGTTCCCGTGTACAAGAACTTTATTTTCATTAGCATATCAACATGATTGTCTATATAAAGAACATTTATAGAGACGAAGGTTTGATGGGAATGTAGAGAAATTATTCCCTTTGAAGTCTTTCAAGGATGGAAGATCTAAAAAGTTTGAATGTTGTGTTCACCTAGTAACATACATGATTGTCTTAACATGATAGAACATGTCTTTTCTGAAAAGAGTTAACTCCTGTTTGAAATGTATTAGCAGGGCACTCTTACACCATATTGAACACATGACAACATGCAGTTTTATTTCTTTTCGTATTTGCTATTTTGAAATGCACCATTTTTTATTTCAGTGTAACTTCTTATCCTATTTCTATTTCTGTTTCAGATGGTGCAAATGGATTCTTTTAGTGTTGAGTATGTCAGCCTAACTTTGGTATCCATGCTATGAAGTATAATTGTGTAGAAATATATTTTCCAAAATTGATACTACTTTTACCATGTATT